GTGAAATTGAGTTTGACACCCCTGCTCTATAGGATTGATTTTTTTTTTAAAAACAAAGCAATGATTTCTATATGTTTCTGAAGTTACAACAAAACAATATTACTTGTGTTTGCAATTTTGTTTTATCAAAACCTGCCTCTCTTTTAAATGAGCCTCTGGATCTCAATGAGACAACCTGCACATTTAAAGGTCAAATAATGAATTTTTTTTTTTTCAACAAATTCCCAGAAAGGAAGCAGCTTTTTTTATGACAGCTGAATTTCTGTGAGTTTTCATCATCATCACCATCATCCGTGTCCTATTTTCCCTCAGCATGTCATCCGTTGTGCCAGACCTGCTCCGGCCCATCCCAGGCGGACTGCACCTCCTGTCCCCCGGGGGGCGCCCTGCAGAGTGGCTACTGCACCACGGGCTGCCAGGAGGGCCGCTTCCTCAGCGCCGTCACCACAGAGTGCCTCCGTAAGTCGCTGTTTTCATGAAATATGCAGCCAGGAGGGCTTGTTTGTGCAGCGGCACTGGACTCTACTGGGAAATTAATCTCCAGCTCTGCCAGGAGTTGAGTTTTCCTCTACCCACCCAGCTTCGCATGATGACATACCGAGACATACCGCTTCTTCTGCAGGTTTCAACAACAGCCATGTCTGTTACATTTTAATTTGTATCTTCTCTTTCTGCTGAGTATGTTTTAATGTTTAAAGATGAAATTTCTGGTGGGAACTTTTACTTTTTGCTTGTTTTTCTTAGCAATATCTTCTCGTCAAAGTCGTTAACTTTTGAACTTTAGAACCATTTTAATTTTGATTTAAAAAAGTCTGCTAAAAGGATCTAATTTGCATCAAATCTTCAATTCATGAGGAATGACCTGTTTTAGCTAGAAAATTAAGCAGCAACATTCTAACTCCAAACAGTTGCTTGGAAACCTGAATGTTGTAAATAATGTGGGAATTTCATTATAATTAGGGATAAAACGCACCCAGTCAATTAAAATCTAGTTTATTGAAGAAATGTAGTAAATACTAAAGATTTAAAGTCGTACTGAATGATATTTGGTTTAATTAATACAGGTTTTAATGAAGGTTCACTTCTTTAATTCCTACTTCTTACAGCTTTTAATCATTGTTAATAAATCCATCCGTCTGTCTGTCCATCAATCAATCATGAGGTTTGACCATAAACAGGTTTAATTTCTTGTAGCTGTATATTTCCTGGTTGTGAGTTAATCATCTGTTCTTGTTTGTTTTATGAAACACGACACAGTTAAGCTGAAACTTGGTTTGATCTCAAAAAATTGTTGCACAAGTGGGAAATCCACTGAAAATGGACACAAATTGTGCAGCAAATGCTCAACTTAAGGGAATCTTTGATGTGACAAACAGCTGAACAAACTGTACTTCTCTGCAGCAGAATAACTGCAGAGAAGAAACGAAAGAAAGAAATGCTTTTTATTTTTAGCAAGGAGAGGAAATACTCAGTCATTGTCCATAATTATCAGAATTTTTGATACCACGAACCAGCATACTGAAAAAACTTTGCATTTCTGTTCACTTTTACATACCGGTATGAATGGAAGTTGAATCAAAACCAGTCAAAAGGAAAAGAAAACAATTTATGAGGGTTTGCAGGTTTAATTACCCAAAAAAAAGTTTCTGTCACAATCAAACCAGAGAGCCCAACCCTACCAGCACCATTTGAACTTAACCTTATCTCCTTATTCCTTGGACTTTAGCTGAACTCATTTCTGTTGCATTTAGACACATTAATTTTTATCGATAAACTGTGTTTTCTGCATCTCTCAAGGCTCTTTGTGATATTTAAAGTGTTGAAGCTTACCCCCAGCTGGACGAAAATGCACCACAGGCAGCAAACTCAAACTATTACTTTTTCTTTATCCCAACTAAATGACTTTTTTATTAAAAAAAATCAAAAAAAAAAAAACGAACCAAAAAAGTTCACTTTATCAGAGAGCTTCAGATGAAACTAAAATACTGGCAGCTTCTCTGACTTTAGTTTCCTTTCTTAGCATCTAATTTATATTCTGTAACTTAAAGTCAGTTTATTTTGCTGGGTTTTATTTCAGGGAATCACAATAACAATAAATTGTTCCAGAAGTTATGGCAATAAACAATATTGTAGTATTGAGACCATTTTCAAGTAATATGATAGTAATAATATCATAATAATGCAAGAACACATTATCAAAGATCAATAAACTTTAAATTCTAATAAACATTTAACGCTAGAAGACATTCTAAATATCCAAAATAAATAAACAAAATAACAGAAATGACAAATAAAATAAATGAAAAATTTAATTTTTTTGAACTGTCTTCAAAAAAAGAGCTTTTTGCGACCAAAGCACCAGACTGAAGATTTTTGTCTTACAGTTTTTTCTGGATGGCAAGTCGACAACTACACAGTGCTCGTTTCCAGCAGCCATTGTACAGCGCATACAGAGATAAAACAACTTGACCGAACATGCTGGAGAAAGGCCTGGGTTGCTTAGTAACAGCTGAGCTTCGCTGGGGTTGCTAGGTAACGGCGCAGTGCCTGTCATTGTGACTTGATGATCAGGAAGTTTTTGAAATGACTCATTTTCCAGACACCAGAAGTCATTAATTTATTTGCATAAACTGCCTTTTTAAGCATTTCCAGTTGAAGTTAATCGAATTAAACAACCTATTTTCAGTATATAGTTGACCTATGTCGACCCCACTTTATAAAAGTCAGCCTCCAGAGAGAGAAACATTGCTTTCCTGTTGCTTATCTGCTTGAAAATCAGCGGAAAGGCCAAATTTTGATTTATTTTTGTTGGTGCTGTCACCAAAATATGCTGAAATATGCCCTTTAAATATCGTCCTTATGAAGTGCCTGGCTGTGGGACTAAATGACTTCTTGCATTTGGTTCTGAATGGAGGCATAACTCTGACCTCCAGGGATGGTTTGGGTCAGCAAACATGGATTTTTTTTAGACCTGACCTTATTAAATGTATTGTGATTCTCTGAGAAAGTCCCAGCAGTGGAAGCTCAGAGTAAGCTGAGAGACCTGCCTTATCGGGCAGCGCTGCTTTTTTTTTTTTTTTTAACATGTATTGATTTCCTGCTGTGGAGCAACTTTGGACTCCAGCACAAGTTTCCATAGTGATGGACTCAAACGAAGAAGAAGTGACTTTGTGAAAACTAAGACTAACTGGAAGTTCCCTCTCTAAGCCACTAATCCTGCCGACGCCAGATAAGCCGGTTAAACTCTTATGGTTGTTTGCAAACATGCACACTGATCTGGAATCGGTTTTGAAATAAGGCTCATCTGGGCCAAAGATGTACTCTGGTCATCATTCTTCACCCTTTTTTCTGTCTAAATCTTAAAACAATAATACTTCCTGTTGAATTCTCACAAACTTGCACTTTAGAGGGTTCAGTATGATGTAAAACTTGAGCTTTACATCTTGTTATAACGTTATTCCCTCATCACTGAGGCTGTCACTCTGTCATCAGCTTATATGAGGGGATCCATCAGAGGCAGATGTCTCGCCGTCTGCTGTCTCTTCTCATCTTCTCTCCGTCCATCATTCTCTCCCTCTCCCTCTGGTTCTTCCTGTCCACCTCCATTATCAATCCCTTTAGTCTTTCTTTACCTTTAAAGAAATATTTCAGTGTTGACAAGGCAGAGCTGACTCCTTAAAATGTCCTAATTTAGCCATTATTTTTCTAATTTTGTGAAAAATGTGAATTTGAACCTTTTAATAAGCTTTATGGGATAGATAGTATGTCTTGGCCTTCTATTGTATTTATGTTAGTTTCTTGGTCAATCAAGCTAAAAATAGTAAATAAGAAAAAATGGAAAAATCCAAAAAAAGAAGAAAAAAGAACAAAAAAAAAAACAAGAAAATCAAACAAAAGAACTGTTCGTAAATTGACCTATTATGCAAAATTCCCCTTTTGTAAATTTTTTATGCTTCCATTTGGGTTTATATTGCTTCTAAAAACAGTTTTAAAGCAAATCTCACCCATTTTTGGCAATAAGTTAATATTTTTTGGTTTCTGGAAAACGAGCCATTTCAGAAACCTCCAGATTATCGAGTCACAATTGACTGGCACTGTGCTGTTACCTAGCAACCCAAACAGAACTCCGCCCGTCACCTAGCAACCCAAGCTGAGCTCCAGTAAGTTTGGTAAGCTGGTTTTAAGAGAGTTTTGTCGTTGACTTACTATCCAGAAACAACTTGCTGCATTTTTGTTGGTTGTGCAGGAGGCTCCACTTCTGCTTTTCAAAGATGCAGTAAATGTTGGCCACCTCCAATTTAGCCTCGTTAGTTTGTAGACAATTTTTCCAGGATGTTTGATGGTAAATATGAAAGGGGTCTTTTATTCTTGTGGGTCAGCAGTGGTTTTGACTCCATTTCCAGTTGTTGAATCATGACCTCTGACCTTTACTGAGGCCAATGGGGTCCGTAGAGCTTTAGATGCCATTGTCACATTGGTGTAAATGGCTGATTTTCTTTAATCAGCTAAATTATCATTTTGTTTGTGAAATTTTAAGAAATAAATCAGAATTCATCACATTTTTGTAGGTTTCCTTCAATTTATAAAATTATAAAATTAAATCCCATGAAAAGGGATGAAAATGTGAATATATTTAAAAAGTGTTTGACGTTTTGTCTCTCCTGCTTTTAACTTGATTTTGTTGCACAAATAAGTGAGACGGTGCTTCTCTTCCTTCAGATTTACATATGCAGCATTTCCCCCAGTTGTAGAAGAATAATCGTGCTGAATAAAAGCGCGGTTGGTTCTTTTATTAATGAGCCTCTGACAGCAGAGACCAAATGCACTGGAGCGTGTAACTTGGCAAAGCTTTTAAGTGATATTGTCAAAACCAAAACCAATCTGCATAAAAAATTAGAAGCCGAGAGAAGAATTGAGGTTTCTTAATTAATCTTCCATCATTGGTTCCCAAACAAGAACTCCTCTGTTTTTAAAAATGAAGGTTTTACCTTTTGGGGCATTGATGACAAACTACCACGGTATTTTTAAAAATGTTTTTAAAACTTAATGTAGTGTTTCACAGGATAATTTTATTCAATCTTTCTATTTCTTCTCTTTTTTCCTGAATTTGTTTCGTTTGTTAAATAAAAACTGAGAAACACTTCATATGTTTCAGAAACTTTTCCAACCAGAACCTTTTGGGAGCAAAATGTTTGCAGAGTTGGGTAGTAAGTTACCTTTACTCAATTACAGTTACTTGAGTAACTTTTTGAAAAACATTTCTTTAGCAGTATTTTTACTATGTTATGGTTTTTACTTTTACTTGAGTAATTTTATTATGAAGTATCTCTGCTCTTTCTTGTGTAAAATTTCTGGATTTTCTACCCACTGAATGAAAAACAAACAAGTTTTAACCAAAAATCCACCGGACACAAACACACACCTGCAGCTTCTGTTAAAAATGATTTGTAAAAATGTTCTTTTGTCTGATTGTGTTACTTTTTGTGTCTTATATGAATTATTGTCCTTAAAATACCGACATTTCCACTTAATTTTATACTTTGGTCCGTCTGATGGTGTAACTTTACTTGAGTAGACTTTTTACCAAACACTTTTTTACTCTTGAGGAATTTCCTGGATGTCTACTTTTCATTTTTACTTGAGTAAAAACATGTTGAAGTAGTGCTGCTCTTTACTTGGGTAAAATTTTTGGGTACCCTGCCCACCTCTGGTTGTTTGTCGCCGTACGTAGCTTTAAATAGACGTGTCACCATGGTAACCACTTATAATAAAAGTGAAATAAAGCACAAAGGCAGCTTTTTCTTTTCTCTGTGAGCCTGAAAGTGCTCCACACTGAAGATACATGGCTGGTAGCATGTTGCCGCAGTTATCTACCTGTATCAGTATCGACTCAGAGCGCTGCCGTTCTCCAGGATAATTCACTGATCAATATTGCTCCGTTTAGCTGCGATGGAGCTTTTACTTCATCAGTATTAATTGTGAGCTCCTGCCAGGGGAGCTTTTGAGCAGTTTGTGTTTTTATTACCCTGTGGAGTTTTTACACTGAGAGAAAAAGAGGAAAAATAAAATTAAACTGCAGCAACGCTCAGATTCCTATTTTCTGTATAGATCTGAGTCGATGTTTCTGTGTTTAAAGGAATCATCCTGGGAAACGCCATTTTAACTCTTAACAACATAAATGTCTCTCAGAAATACAGATAAACTACAGCAGAGAAAAGTCTTAAGACTCAGTGTTGTGCAAAAGTTTTAAACCACCTGATACTTTTCACCAGCTGTTCAGAAAACCTTTTATTTTCTGGACTCTGGTTGCAACTTTTGGTGAATGGCACTTTAGGAATCATGTTACTGGATTAAACATACCATCTTCTGTCAAACACTATTATTTTTTGTGTTTATCACACTGCAAAAAACGAAATCTTACCTAGTATCTTTTGTCTAGTTTCTACTGGAAATAAGAAAAAACTTACAAGTGACTTTCAGCAAGATGTTGGAGCCTGTTTTAAGTAAATATTTCCTTAATTTTGATGAAAATGTCCTAGCTCCACTGTGTGATAAATTCACCTATAACAAGACATTTTCCCATAGTATAAGTGAAGTTATCTGCATTTTCACCAATATTAAATAATTTTTTACTTAAGAAAGTTACTATATTTTGCTTTAATGTTACTTGTAAGTTGGCAGAAAACATCTTACACTACAAAAACTGAAAATGTACCAAGTATTTTTGGTCTGGTTATGCAAATATCTCAGTACACTTGAAATCAAATAAAACTAACTTTTCAGCAGTATATAGGAGCTTATTTCAAGTTACTAAAAACTGAAGGGATTAATTTGCTTTTAATAAGCAAAGAAAATATGTGAGAACATTGGGGCTGCAAAGAAAACAGCAGAACTTTGAAATCCCTCCAGAAAACCCTGAGAAGCCGTCTCAAAGTTCATTTCATGGGATTACGGGAGAGCCTGCCTGCTTGGATCGATGGATATTTGAAAACAAGGGATGAAAAGGGACTGAGCCCAAAGCAAAACACATTTGAGCTGAGAGAGAAATGAATGACTTCTTTAATAACTTTGGTTATAAATCCGTTCGTCAGGGCGACATGCCCAGACAAGGTGAACACACATCAGAACGGGCCACCCAGTTTCCCGCTCCGGTTATTCTCACGCCACAGTCACTGACATCTAACCTACTGATCGCGTTCTGCTCTCTTACAAAATACCTTAAGAAACCAATTTGATCTTGTTTTGACTTTGCAAACTCTTAGCTAAGCAGCAAAGACACATCAGCCTCATTAAGCAACTTCCTGTGGTCTATGCTGCAGATGCAGGAAACTCTGGGTAATGTCTCATAAAACGGCCCAACAGGAGAGCAGCAGCATCCGTCCTGCACATTTATAACTCCAGAATATCTTTTTATGTGCTTCAGAAATGGTAACTATGCTATAAAGAGGGACTCCGAGGGGCAAAATCAATACCATTTTAGTTTTATATTCAGTTTTAGGCTGCACAGTCAATAATCCTTGACGCCTGAGTTATCTTATCTCCGATGTGGAGCAATTTGTTCAGAGCTCGGAGAGGGATCACCTGCAGAGCGCTGGCAGCAGGAATGCTGATTCGGGTTTTGTTGCAACGTGATATTACATGGAAAGTTTGACTGTTAGATGACATTGCAAATATTTGTTCCTCTTCCTTTTGCGTTGTGTTTTCCCAACCTCAGAAAATCATTAACTCCCCTGATCAGATTCAGTTCGTTGGATAATTGAGTTCTACAATCTTTTTACATTAAAAGAAGCATCTTTGAATGTAACTAAATGTGAGAATGATTTTGCAGAGAAATCATTAAAAAAGACTCTGTGATTTGCAAAACTACAAAATCTGGAGGAATAAAATGGTTTTTAGTGAAGGTTTATTGCTCTCTGGCGCCCCTCCTGGACAAACCACATCATTGACATTCCATTTATTGGGATCCACCACCTTTCACAAATTAAAAAATCAAAACAATTGTATAAATGTTCTTCATGATTTAATTAAATCAATTGGAACAAACTGAATTATGCAAATAATTAAAAACACATTATTTAAAAAAAAAAAAAGATCTTAAGAAGAAACTTTAAGCTAAAATTCCTCTGGCTGCTAAGTCATTAAGTCCACACCCACTAAACCGTCGACCCAAAGTACTTTTTTCACAGAACCGAATTACAAAAAAAATCTTTGGGTTATTTACATGCGAGTAAACTAGAGATAAATTTTCAGCAGTGGTGTATATCTTGCATTTCAGGCATGCCTCCAGTGTTTCGGATCGTTTTATTTTACTTTTCTTCCTAATATGCAATGAGATGTCAAAGATTTATCCATCAGGTGTGTATTATAAAATTCTTGATAATATGCTGGAAAACCTTGCTTGGTTGAATAATTTTAGCAGCATGAAGACCAAATGTTACCTTGATATCACAGCATCATCAGCATAGCAGTGGAGTTTTGTAAGGGCGTTCGATTTGGACTTAATGTTTTATATCAATAGTTTATGACACTACTCTGATAATGATAAAAGTGATGATGAAAACTATTTATTTCTACTTTTTTAGGTTATTATATGGCTGGCAGAGCAATCATAACGATACAAACACAAATATTGCACTTAAAAACTATTTGCAATACTCTTCTTAAGGTACCAGTCAGGTACAGAAGGGTAATTTTTATCATTAAAATGCACACAGTAACATATTTTAAAATGTATTGGTATTTAAACAAACAGTGGAGAAAATAGTAAAAATGGCAGTTCTAACATTGAAATGCTACAACAATATCTACATTCACATAACTTATGTGTGATGCACAATTCTGTTTTTTTTTTATTTTATTTTTGCAGATTTTCTCTTTTGAATTAAATGCAACCACAGCCTGACTTTTGTGTGAACGGTCTGAGCCCAAAGTGACCCGCATGTGCAGAAGAAGAATTTAGACGCAACACAGCAGCGAAACGTTTTATTGTTTATGGATCAATTTTTTAAGTTGTTGAGGAATCGGAGCTGACAGTATTGGGACAACATCATAACAAGACGAAGAAAACAGAACTAATATCAACAGACTTTTGGACCCGAATTATGACGCATGTCTCACGCCAATGATGTAAAAGTTGAATAAAATGCAACATGGCCGTTCTAACTGAAAACTAAACGTCCAATTTAGTTCCACATTCGGAAGTGACAAATTGAATTCGAGCCCCTCAGACTGCCGTGAAAAAGTCAGATATGGGCCGAATTCACCTGCCGTGTGAACGTAACCTCCTTGGTAAGCTATATCTGTTATTGCTCTATGATGCAATAACAGATATAGCTGTTACTGCTAAAAGCGCAGCGGTTTTCCATTCACTCATTCATTCATCATCTCTGCCAGTTGAAACCAGATATTTGCATACATTCAATAAAAAGACAAACAACTTTTTTTTTCTCACTCTCTGGAGTTAAATGAGACCAAACTTTTCTTATTTTAGTGAGAATTACCTAAATTATCTCTATTTGTTAAATGCCAGAAAACACGTGACTCTCCATGACTTCAGATGTTTACATACATTTGGTCAGTATCAGGGACAAACTGCTTTAAAATATGACTTGGGTCAAACTTTTGGGTTTGTTTCTTCAAGATTCTCACAGTAGTTGCTTCACACACACATTTTCAGATAGAGAAATGTGTTTTTATATGCAGTGTATGTAAATATATGGTTTCATCAGTAAATTACCAGAAAACTAATTTATTTTCCAATCTCTAACCCTTTTCCTCTCCTTTAATCTTGACTTTATTAGTTGAGTGTTTTTGGCTCAATAAACTAAATATGTTTTTTGTGCCAAAAATCCTCATGTGGAAATATGCAGGGGAAAAATGCAAATGGCGTGAGACAATAGCATTCCCGTCTGTTTTCCAGTGGTGATTACATCTCAGATTGCTGCTTTTTGAAGACTTGACACGAAATGCAAACAGGATTTTGCCCCTCAGGGCTCGGCTGATGTGTTGGTGTAAGCAGTGTCAGTTTCTTTTAGAGGAGATATGCTCTTACTGTTCTAAATTTAGCATGGTACGGATAGCAAAGTAATGGAAATGGAGCTGCATAAAACGTGAAATGCAGAGAAACTAAAAAGAAACGTCGACAAGGGTTTAGTGTTGGTTAAATTGCAGGAAAAAAAGACATGGGAGTCTTTATTCTTTCTGACTAAGCAGTTAATTCAAATTCTGTTGGAAAAGTAAAACAATAGAGTAAAATCTTTCCTTTTCTCTCCAGTGCCCCCACGTGTGGCCAGTCTTTGTCGTTCTCTGTTGTCCAGAGATAAGCCGTCACCTTCAGGGGTTTTCTGCGTCTCCCTGCTGATGGTTATCTCTGCAGAGGCGAACAACTGAAAGGTCCCCACAACCCAGACGCCATAAAACCCAGATCCGATAAAATGCCTGGAGCTGTTGGCCATTGTTGAGCTAATCTCAGAGTATTCTGGTTGGCTGGGCGGTACTTCTGTCTGAAGCATGTGGGTCAGCTCTTATCTGCTGTGGGAGACAATAACAAGGAGATTCAGGTTTCAGAAAGTGAAGGAAAGTGGAGCATCTAGGATTCAAACATCTATACTAATGAGGCTCTCAGTAAGGTGAACATGCAGCACATTTTACATCACCCCTAATCTTTAGCTGCGTTTACATTAACCTTAAATTTTTGAAAATAAATTGACTTAATGGAAACATGTCAGTTTCAAAAGAGCTGAATATAAAGTGAAAATTTGGGGGGGGGGGTTTGGCCGTATCTAAACTGGTTGATTTCCTGAAACTCTATTGGAAATGTTTCTTTTGCATCACACAAATCATGTGACCAACAACAAGATGTTACTACTGACGGAAATGACAAAGAAGACAACAGGTTGATGGCGCAATGTGATTTTTAATGACTTATCATGTGAACAAACTTATTCACGTGCGACTTTAATTTAGTTTCTTTTCTAACAGAAACGCCATGATTACAAAAATATGTTTTTTCAAATTTAGCGAAATATCAGTAAAGTTTTGCACAGACACAGCACAATTTAAAGACCAATTAACCTCATTAACTGTCATGTTTCTGGACTGTGGGAGGAAGCTGGATCCCCTGGAGAAAACTCACTTAAGGTTTTTCCTCCAATTCAGTTTGGAGCCCGCTCTGGTTCCCGAACATAGTTTTGAACCAATGTCGCAAGTTAACACCAAATCTGGTTCCAGTATATATATTCTGCATTTAAGATTAAAAAAAAAATAAAAAAAAAACATCTATGTCTATAAATATGCTCCACCTAGAACTCCTTAAATGATTTTTTAATATCTATTCTGCAACTTGTGCTATCCATTTGGATGATATGACTGAAAATAGTATCACGATATGAACACTTCTTATCAGTTGATATTGATAATTAATGTTAGGTTTTTACTTTTAAATATCTGATGTGATCTTTCCTTTTTTATCCACAGCTTTCTCTATAATTTTCCCCCTTTTATTTTATTTTTAAGCAGTTATGAATTACATTGCTGAAACCTGAAACTGCTACTGTGGAAGTTACTCCACAGGTTGTTGCTAGGTAACCAGAGAGTGAGTGAGTTGCTAGGTAACCAAAGAGTGAGTGAGTTAGTTGATTCCACCAACCTACCTTAGTCGGTATTTAAAGGTTTAGCGGCTAAACCTCTGCCTACATCTCCCAGAATGCTTTGCGGTTCAGTGGAATTATTGAATATTCTATCAGACATATTTTCTGTTGTTATTGATCTCGCATCTATCACGACATATATTGTTATTGATTTATTGTCCAGCCCTAATATTTCCTAATCCAAAAAAAAGAACAGTTAGATGTAGATGCATCCTTTCCTACAAGTGATTGAACTTTCACTGAATTAATGCTATGTTATTGCATTTAATTTAAAAAAGGAATTTCATAATTTGTATCTTTCAATGTATTTCTAATACTGTGTAAAAGAGACTTAAGTGGTTAAATTAAAAAAAATCTTAATTTTTTAAAATCTGATTTCATGGTTAATAGTTAGAATAATCTAATAGATTACTAAGATAATTGTTAGTTTTATTCCCCTTACATCCTGTAAATAAATAAATTAAAAAACTCAAAAAAGGAGGACAGTAGGAAATAAAAATGTTCTTTCCTGTGTTCCCCCCACAGAGTGCAGCTCCGACTGCCAGCGCTGCACGGCGGACCTCCAGACCGGCGTTGGCAGCGTGTGCCTGTGGTGCAAAGCGGCGAGGACGTGGCTGCTTGGCGATCACTGCGTCTCTTTCTGCCCCTCCGATCATTATGCGTGGCACGGAGCCTGCATCAGTAAGGACTCTCACTCTCCTGTCTCATTATCAAATGTAGAAAGGTCAGAGGTGCGACAGCAGCCGTTTGAATGTAAAACTGAGCTAAAATCTCATCAGAGCCTCCATGTTTTATTCATCCGGCCGGTTGAAGATCTGACTGACTAGGTGGAAGTTGGTCCTCGACCCTCTTTGTTTCTGTCTTGACTCGATGACAAGAAGCAGAAGAAACGGCGAATGTTAATGAAGCTAAAAGAAATCCTCTTTGGTACTCACACGAAGGTTTTTAACACAAAGCCTCCTCCAACATATTTGTGAGAAAAGTGACATTAAATGTCCACAACAAGGAGTCAAACAAACACCAACCTCTTTGGCTTTTCCATCCGATAGATCTTGATATTTTTTAGTTGAAATATTTAATTTATTTCATTCTTAAATGTTCTTGGTGTGCAGCATTTTCATGCGAGCTACACTGAGTCAGAATCCAAAGAAAAGAGCAGGTTTTTGTATTTCTTCTGGAAAAGCTTAAATTGAGCAACACATTACTAGAAATCCACCATTTGTCCCCGGTTTGAACTTTTTGGAGTAAATGTAAAGGTCTCTAGTTGAAATTAAATGTTCCTTTTTGTAGAGGATGTTGCAGAAAACTGATGGTTTGTATGTTTAGCTCAGGGTCTTAAGCTTTTGATTCATTGTTATGGTGACACTCAATGATGCTGACATCATGCTTCACTACAACAATGAGGGATTTTGTGTTTTTATCCGTTTATAATTATTATAACATATTAGTTTGACTCAACAACAGAGGTATTTGGTCTAGTAAAACTATTTGGTCTACTAGTAGTTTTACTAGACCAAATAGTGAAATAGTGGAATAGTACACTTCATAAGACAAAACTAATTTAGAAGTAACTTTTCAGCAGGAAATCAGAGTTTGTTTTAAGTCAATAATTCCTTAATAGTTGTGAAAAAGTGTTTGTTCCACTGGCAGATTATTTCACTTATAACATCAGAAAAAAATTTTGTTATAAGTTTAACAATCTGCAAATTAAATAAGTACTTTTTAAAATCAATATTAAGGAATTGTTGACTTACAACAAACTCTTGTATCTTGCCAAAAAGTTACTTGTAAGTTAGTTTGTCTTATTTCAAATGCACTAACAAAATTGCACAAGAAATAAGACCAAAAAAACTTGGTAAGATTTTGTGTTTTTGCAGCGTAACTTTGCAAACTGTTCTTCCATATTTAACTTTTCATGAACTTTGACTTTTAAAATGTTACCTGGGAGTTGTACGCTCTGAGTTGGAGCTTTGTCATGCTGGGATGTCATTCCCAAACTCTTTCCAGACTGATGAGCAGCAACAGTTGCTCCATTAAAGATAATTTGTGATGCTTTTTGTTGGCTTTGTGTTAATGCACCTGTATCCTCCGGAGCACCAAACGACCTAAACTCCTGCTTTCTGAAGATCCGTTCCCATTTAGATTTGATAGTTTTCTCCAATCTTTCATCCTCGTCGTAACCTTTTGGTTTCCCCATTATTCCCAACAGTCTTCATCTCTATTTCTGCATCGTTCCTGGTTCTTAATCGTCTTTTCATTCCAGCCTTTCAGCTCTGTTCTCCTCGTCGTTATTATTGCCATCATCCTCATAATAACCATCGGTGTTCTCATCCTCCGTATACGACTGATCGTTACCCTAATTCCTCTTTATCCTCATTAGCCTCGTTATCACTATCATCCCCCCTTCTTTCTCTTATGGCCCTAAATCTTATTAGCTTTGTCATCTTCATCGTCCAGGGTCATTATCATCATCATTTCCTCTGTCCTCATCCTGCGATTCGGCAGGTGAGCAGCAGAAAAGACGGGGCGCCTTGCAGCCACGCAGAGCGTCTTCATGCAGATTTAAATGCAAATGTGAGGAGGAGGCTTCGGGCCGCAAAACCTCTGGAGGCTCATTTAGCCGAGCCCGAAGCAGCCGAACACCAACACACACCAACACACACCGTAAAGAAGCAACGCTGCAGAGATAAAACGGGACACTGAACAACAGACGTGGGATTCAATGCATCTGTGGCAATATTTTATACTATGCAGCCTTTTCTCCTGCTGGTGTTGCGTCAGACTTCTGAACTAAAGCTGCTTTCCTGAATTTTCTTGAGTTTTTTTTTTTTTTGTTCTGTGCTCAGAGATGGAAGGAGGGCGCCAAGGAGAGCGAGAGGAGTGGAAGGGCTCTTGCAATGATTATACACTTGATCGTGATTACTGATTATTATAAATATGTATTTTTAAACTCAAGAGCATGCATTTACAAATTTATTCTAGTGGGAATGTAATAATTCAGCAGGTTGGAGTGGAGATCCGTCTTTGAGTGCAAAGATTTAGACCAGCCTCTATGTTTTTTCCTGTAGGGGATTTGGTGTTGGATGGGTGCTGGACACAGACAAACACTTCAACAAGTTTTTCTTTGCTTTCTTTTATTAAACACAATCACTCTGTGGAAGAGTTGTTTGCTGCAATCAATGTAGCAACCATTGAATATATTTAAAGGAGACCTACTGGGCAACATTCACATTTTGCACGTTTTCGTACTTCGATTTGGTTCCCTACTGCTTCTAAAAATCTAAAAAAAAATTCATTGTCTGCTGATTTATCGTCACAAATCAGCAGACAATGCCCCGTTTCCTGGAAACCAAAGCTGAGCTCCAGCACGTTAGGTCAGCTGGTATTACCGCTCTATGCACTGCAAAATGGCTGCTGGAAAAGACAACTGTTTTGTTGTTGGCTTACCATTCAGAAACTACTTGCTGCATTCTTGTTGGTTGTGCAGGAGGCTCTACTTCTGCTTTTCAAATGCAAGTGCAAGTGTAAATGTTGAGTTGGGAGGCGTGGCCTGAAGGAGCTTATTAGGATTTAATGGGAGAAGAGGCCCTAGAAAAGCATAATAGGTCACCTTTAACTATTATTGAAGTATTTCAACCCTTGCTGGAAGACCTGTGGTTAGTTGTGATTAAAGCAAAGTGTGTAGCTGTTATTGTATTTTACCTGGACTGTTTCCAAAATCTGAAAATGTGACAACTCTGAGATGTTTGGCCCCTGATATAAATATATGTCTTCATTTCTATATGTATTTTTTATATGTCTATCCAGCTTTCTGTCTCCATTTGTCTGTTTTAATCTGTTTTTGTGTCTCTACACCTTTAAATTTTTACGTGCTCTTTGTCTCTTTGTATCGAACTATAATGTATTTCTATAAGCTCAGTCTTAAAAAGCCTGAGTCTTAAAAGGCTTTTTAAGCTAAAATTTGATGAAAGGTTAGAGAAATCCCTGAGCATCACGTTTCTTATATTTACATTATAATAAGACATCTTATAATCTTGTAAAGTGTTTTTGATCAAAAATGTTCCAGCTTTCTGAAAGTTTTATACAGTTAGTGATGGACTTCTTAACTCATATTTAGAAAACAAAATTTTACTTTTTGAACTTTTACTCAGTTCTGAGCGATGTTTTATTACCTAACATATTTAGGTAATAACTTTCACATTTATGCTTTTTGCTCCAATTTCCTTCATTTTATGCTGATCGTTTTCTGTCATTTTAATCTAATTTATTCACTTTTTTCCCCAGAATGCCATCCTTCATGCGAGTCCTGCAGTGGGGCGGGGCCTCTGTCCTGTACTTCCTGTCCCACCAAAAGTGTCCTGCTGCCCTCTGGCCTCTGCGCTGCCAGATGCCCCGTTGGTTACTATGACAACGGTCATCGGCTCTGTCAAGGTAGGAAACACCCCTGCTGATTGGTCACACTTATCTGCTGTTTGTACACCATTTTTGTTTAAATTTTTATATTTTTCCTTTTAATCTTCTTTGGGGAAAAATAAATTTTTAATTTATTTTGCCTTTATAAAGTTAATATTTAGTACCGATTGTTCAAGTTTGTCAGGATTGAGCCAAAGCTTACATGTTCTTATCTTTCATTTTCAAAACTAAGCAAGATTTTAGTAGTTCACCTTTTCAGTGATTTTATTAATATCTTTGTTTAACTTTACTGAGAAAATGTAGTTTATAGTATAACATAAAACATTGCATACGTAGAGATAGTTGGAGCCGGAGGCAGACGGAGGTGAATTTATTGTTCATGGGGTTTTCAGCTTTCTACTCAGAAATACACTTAATGAGGACCTGTGGGAGAAATAAGACTTGATCTCGGTTGTTTCACTTTTTAAAATGTTGTTTGGTATTCAGTTCTCATGTTTATGAAATGTACAAGAAAATAATCTGACTCTAGACATATTTTTAGAACATTTGCCTCAATGAGTGTCAACATTGCTTATAAATTAGTATTTTGTTTTCATTCCACAATAGTACATTATGGATATCATTGAAGACGATTGTTTACGTTAAACAACAAAAATTCCAACTACAGGAAAGATAACTCAGATTTAATCTTGGGAAAACTTGCATTACAGTATATAATTTTGCCTTTTTGATAAGTTATAGGCGAATTATTATGTTTCCTTGAAAACATTAGGATACGTCGATGGGCTGTGCGAAACACTGTTTATTATATTTTTTGCACAAAATTGTTCTTAGATAATGAGATTTTAGGTTTTTTCAGTTCTGAGTGAGTTGTTTTAGGGCCTCCGTCACTTTAAATTCAAATAAGCTGCTGCTGGCCAAGCCCCCCAACTCATCGTTTAGACTCGCATGTGAAAATGGCTGGAAGCAGATGCACAGTTACACAATTGTACATCTTTGAAAAGCAGAAGTAGAGCCTCCTGCACAACCAACAAGAATGCAACAAGTGTTTTTTGGATGGTAAGTACAAACAGCAGTCACTGATGTACAACGGTAAAACTAGCTGACCAAATGTGCTGGAGCTCATTTTGGGTTGCTAGGTGACGGGCAGAATTCTGCTGGGGTTGCTAGGTTACAGTTCAGGGTAACTTAACAACTGGGAGGTTTTTGAAATGACTCATTTTTCAGACACCAAAAACATTAACTCATTGTGCGGAGGTGAGATTTTTTTGTGCCTGGTTGTTTGTTGAAGCAGTAGAAACCAAAATGGAAGCATAAAAACGTACAAAATGTGAAGTTTGCATAATAGGCCTCCTTTAAAATAAAAAGAAAGGTAAGGTAAAAAACAAACAAAAAAAAAGCACAGATCTGACAGTAAAATCACACCTAAAGGTTGGCCAAAGGTAGATCCATACAGCGTTAGGTTGCCGCAGGTGTTATATTGATCTTTCCCTCACTCTTGTCTGCGTTGACCTTTTTATCGACCTTTCTTTCTGTTTTTGGCAGCCTGTGACAGACAGTGCCTGACATGCGACACCGCTGGGGTTTGTACGTCCTGCCGTGACCCGACCAAGGTGCTGCTCTTCGGAGAATGCCAGTACGACAGCTGCGCCCATCAGTACTACCTCAACACGACGACCCGCGCCTGTAGAGGTAAGACGGAAACCGCCGCAGCGCGCAGCGGAGGACGCTCCTGATTAGTAATGAGGATACAGTATGCGGCCTTTATAGCGTTCATAAATTACTCTCCATCCATATTGCATGTAGTGCAGGAGGCCACGGTGATTTTATGGGGCCCATCAATCAAGTAATAAACTCTGGAACCAGAAATGCAAATTCCAGCCATTGTGTGTGCATTTTAACTCTCTTACATCTTCTTTTGCCCAGTGAAGTTGATTAATGAGCTTCATGGAAAATCCTGGGCTTTTTGTTAAGATTCAACAACTTTATTTCTCTCTGGAATAGTCCTGCAGGAAAGTCTGCATATTTGTGTTACGGTTCAGGTTTTTAACAGCTTTCTCTCTAATTGGGCTTTATGATAATTGGATGTTATTTTTGCTGCTACAGATTGGCATTTTACCCCATCCTTTCTAAATATTACACATTTATTTCTTTAAATTTCTCTCTTTGGCTACAGTTTTCCTTAATCTAGTTCTCTATATTTTGATCTTTTAAATAACATTAAATGTACTGCATTCATTATTGTGGCAGATATAAAATAAATATAACATGAACATGTAATTTTACTACTCTTGAGATGAATAATTATCTGACTTAATAGTTCCTTTTCATATTAATAAATTAGTTAAAAATTATTTTAATTAGGTTTACAGTAAGTTAAGATGTCTTGTTTAGTTTAATTTTACCCTCTTAAGCTGTATTTTAACTAACTAACCAACTAAATGTTACTAGATGTTTGTGGTTCCACTTTTAATAACTTTAAATAAAGGCTAAATTTGAGGAAAAATGTGGCTAATAACTGGCAGAAAAAGAACAACTTTGTTGTAATTAACAGCATTTATGAGAAAAAAAAGATTTTTATAAATACTCAGCCACAGAGCTTTATTTCTATTCCATTAGCTTTAGCGGCTAATCCTCCATTCAGTCAAGAAGTAATTCAGCTGCCGTTGTTTCGTCCAGTTTGAGTCGGTTTTAATGTTTACAGCAACCATCGGCTTGTTCAGCTCTACATTTGTAAATAATATAGAGCATTTCAGTGCCAGGACTCGGCATGTTTGTGGTTTTTTGCAGATGAACACCTTCTAACTTGTCAGGTTCAGGAATTTGAAGTTTAAATAAATAAGCTGGGAATTGATTTGTTGTCACATCGGTGAGCGTTTGATTGGATCTGCCGGAGGGAAGCCCCAGCCCTGCTGTGACTGATTGTTTTGATTCTGCTTGTCATCAGGCGTCATTATCATCAAGTGCAGAGCATGTTTTCCTGTCTAAACACTGATCTGTGTGTTTGCTGTGCTTCTCAAACCCACACAGACTCAGATAATGGCAAACACAAACAAACACTTAGTTTTTTAATCAGGTGTGATTTTTCTAAAACCAACATTGAAGCATTAAAATGTTGTTGAATGTTCCTTTTTTGTTTGGTTAAGCAAGACAAGATCTTCAGTTTGGACAAAAGAAGCTTCAGCATCTTTTAGTTTATGTGACCTAAATGCTTTACTGTTAATGTATTACTGCGCAAAACAAATGAAGGGAAATGTGAAACTGCACAGTTTGCCATCAGAACTGTCTTCATTTTTGTGGCATAGAGTTATCAAGATGTTTGAAATGTTTTCCAGAGATGTACATTTTTATTTTGATGATGAAATCCAACTGTTCAAGCAGATTTTTAAGCTGCATTTGATTAAGATCTGGTGACTGTCAGCATCCAGATCTCGGCTTAAACTATTTTTCTGTTATGTAGTTAGTTTAATGGGACACACACCTTAGTAAAAGGTCCACTTTTTTCCTTTTAGTACACAAAATATTCTGCTTTATATTTTGAGATTAGCCAGCTGTGGTTCTGGTTTTCACAGCCAACAGCTGTGAAAACCAGACTAGACTCTACATTTTGTCAAATGCTCATGCTAAACTCATTAATAAACATTAAATATGTTGGTCGGTTTGTCAAGTCCCATCATAAGAATCTTCAATACAATAGAAATAATAATTATTTACTTAAAACAAGCCCCTATCTTCATGAAAAAGTTCCTGTAAGTTAGTTTTATTTCAAGTGTACGAAGGTATTTGCACCAGAAACTAAACCAAAAATACTTGGTAGGATTTTGTGTTTTTGCAGTGTGGATGTCTCCCATTAAGGCCGTTTCTTCCCAGTTTATTGTGATTCTTTATTGTTGAATCTTTCTGACCCTAACGGAGGCAGTGAGAGCTTTAGATTTTGTTCATCTGTCACATCCTGGATCAGGCGTTGGCCCTTAGAAATATCTTTTAAACCATTGTTTCTTACCTTTTTTAATTTTATTTTCTCTTATTTGGGATCTGGGGAGAATCGTTTTATGACATGAGACCAAGTCTGGAATATTGCTTAGTGCAGAGCAAGAAAATGAAACGGCTTTCATGTCTTACTCCCGTTAGAGAGGATTATTTATTGTCCCACTGTGCAGTTTGTGCATATCGGAGTCCATTCTGGCTTTATTTTCCTTTACTCAAACCATAACTAAATGAAGTAAAGAATATAAGGGACCAAATATCCCCTGTAGATTACAGAAAGCCACCTCTCGTATCTCCCTTTACCCCTGGTTTGGTTCCAAGTAATGAGATTTCTCTTGGTTTGGAGGACCTTAAGGCACCGTCTCCATGGAGACGAGATTGCTGCTTCTTTAGCTTGTTTCAGGATTAGCAGCTAAGAGGAAACACTTGTGTGGCATCGAGGTGAAAAGTTAGAATTTTTCTGTGACAACAAACTGCGAAAACACAAACTCTTGATCTAGTTCTAGTGGAAATATCCTAGTATATCTGAAATAAGACAAAACTAACTTACAATTAGCTTTCCAGCAAGACATATGAGCTTGTCTTAAGTAACTAATCAATTAAAACTGATTTAAAAATACTACCATAGTTCCACTGGTAGATTATTTCACTAGATATTTTTCCAAAGTTTCTAGCATTTTTTCCATTGATATTAAGAATATTTTTACTTAAAACAGTTCATAAAAGTCACTTGTAAGCTGGTTTTGTCTTATTTCAAGTGTACTAAGATATTTGCACTGGAAACTAGACGAGGAATGCTTGGTGGGATTTCTTGTTTTTGGAGTGTAAGCAGAAACGGTTGGTTTTCCAGGGCATGATGCGTTTTTGCTGCAGCCTCGGCATGAACCTGTCATGAACCTTCAGTTGGAGAAAACAAGACAAACATTTTATCTCTGAAAACTAGAAAAGCTCCAGGAAACCACCGGGAGCTTTCAAAGGACAGAAAACCTCTGAGTAATTTATGAAGTAGACAAATGGACTCTGTGATTGTTATCTGTTTTCTACAAACCCAGAGACATTTAGGTTAGATATTGCATATATTTTACATTAAATAGCAATAAATTACATTTTATATTAACAATAGTCAGATTGGTTGGTTCTAAATGTTAGTTTTTAATTAGTTTATTACAAGCATATGTACTAAAAAATAGATTTATATTAGTATTGATGTAAGAATAATTTAATTTAAACATCAAATTAAATGTATTATTTTTTAAATTGTCTAACATTTTAGTTAATTAAATATATATATTTTTTATCCTTTTAAAAATTTTATTTTGAAATAAAAGATGAAAAACTAAATGGCAAATAAAATACACATATATATACAAATATACATACATTTTTCCTTTCTTTTTGTCCAATGGTTCAGTAATACCTAAATTTTCTTTTTCACATTCACCAAACCTGTTTCTTTTCTGACCAAAACTCAAGTGTGCTGATTGTTTGAAACTACATGCAAATGATCTCTACAGTCACGTTAAAACCTGTTATTTCTGATTACGTGTCTTGGCTTAGAGTTTCATTCACTGTAAAATTACATCCTTTCTTCTCTGAAATCAATGTGACGCTTCATTTCAAACCTGGAGTCTAACAGAAGGAGGATTGTTTTGCTCTTATTGGGTTTGATTCTCCTGCCAGGGTTTATTTCGTACACCACCAGCGCTCCAGATGTGCAGGTGATTTGTGATAAACAACAGAAATGTATTCAAATCATCATCTTTTTTCCCAATGTTCCCAACACGTCCTCTTCTATTTCCCCTGTGCTGTTCCCAGAGTGTGACTGGAGCTGCAACGCCTGTAAAGGCCCTCTGCGAACTGACTGCCTGCAGTGCATGGAGGGATACGTGCTGCAGGACGGCGTGTGCGCCCAGGGCTGCTCCGTCGGATCTTATCAGGATGGAGACAGATGCTTCGGTCAGTCCCACAGACAGCAGATAAGCGTCTCTCCCTCATGTGCCGCTGATGCAACCACCTCTGGTTTCATCATGTTATCACCTGAGGTTGATCTTCTGTAATGTTTTATAATCCGGCAATGATTAAAGCAGTAAATCAGCGGCAGTGCAGCCAAAAGGAGGAGCCTGAAGTACAAATGGAAATTATATTGACTATGCAGCTAAAATCTGACCCAAAGGTTCCCATTTTGGGATTATATTCTTTTTAATCTCCAACACCTGGAAAGGCTCGAGCTGCCCCATTTATATGCTCGCAAATGTAGTTGTTTTCTTCTGACGTACTTTCCCTTTTTTTCTCACCAACAGAAAATAATCTATTTTTTTGATACAAATTAAATTTTTTCCCACCATTTTACATTTACATTTTTGTCTCAACTGCTTCTAAAAATAACCCAGAAACACTCAGCAGGTCTTTGGCAATAAGTTCATGTTTTTTGTTGTCTGTTTCAAAAACCTCCAGTTCGTTTAGTCACATTCAAAGGGCACTGCGCTGTTACCTAGCAACCCCAGCAGAGCCCAGCCTGTTACCTAGCAACCCAGGTGGCGTTCCGGCACGCGTAGCTAGCTGGTTTGACTGCTGTACGCTCTGTGCTTCCATTTACCGTATAAATGCTCAATTTGACATTTCGACAATAAATTTGGTTAATGGAAATACGGCAATTTCGAAAAAACTCTGTTTTGGCGCTAGGAGGAGGTGATTTATTTACTGACTGAAAATTACTCACATGGGATTTTAATTGTGTTTCTTATTTAATGGGAATGCCACAATTTTTAAATTGTGTTTTTTCTACATTAGTAGAATATTGATAAAGTTTTGCTCATGTTTGTACAGGAAACGCTTCTAATGGCTGCTGGAAGAAACAAGTGTTTTGTTGTTGACTTACCATTCAGAAAACACTTGCAGCTTTCTTGTTGATTGTGCATAAGGCTCCACTTCTGCTTGTCAAACATGTATGGTTGTTTAATTGCACATCTGTTTTCAGTTATTTGAATATCTGAATAACTGAATATCAGTTATTCAGTTAAGTGGAAGTGTAAACATTGAGGTCAGCAGCGGCTTATTTGGATTTGAAGTGGCAGAGGCCCTAAAGGAACTCACTCAAAACTGAGAAGACTGAAATATCCTTATCTAAGAATAATTTTGTGCAAAAAATGTAACAAGTTTTGTTCAGCCTGTTCTAACTTGGTCAAGGAGTCATAATAGGTCACCTTTAAAAAAATTAGGCTTAGATTTATACAATGAGTGAATCCCAAAATGTCAAAATCAAGATTCATGGCTTTAAAGACTTATTAACTCATTACTACAATCCTAATCTAAGAAATTTCATAGTGGTTTGTGCGTATATGTGAGAACAGATCGACTTTAACCTGTGGAGAATGTATTGAGGACTCCAGGTTTTGGTTATACAATGACGTCTGTTCAATTCTCTGCTCACACAATGTCAACAACCATTCGGTGCATACATGCTTTATACAATAGATGAACCCATAGTTATGCTGCCAGGGGAGAAACTGAAGTTTGTGAATATTTACTCTAAGCATGGCTGAAATGCAGCTTTTTATGCCTCTTCACACTGGATGAAAAACAAGTTTTAGGAATCCTGACCAGTGATGTTCAATGTCGAGTCTGTGACACTTTGATGGGGAAAAATCTTTACATTGTGAAAATCTCTGAGATGGTTTATTTAAAGGTTTGCATCAGAAAGCTGCTCTCTTCTCCTTGGTTGCATCTGTTGTGCTGCATGTTTTCCACATGGAGCATTTATGTATATTTGTGCAGTTTGAGATTTTTTGGGATATCCAGTGACATGTTTTTCTCTTTTCGTATGTCTGTCTGTTTCAGGCTGTGACGATCACTGCGTGAAGTGCAACAGTCCTGGGAAATGTCTGGAATGCCAGCCTCCCTACGCCACTCTCCAGGGACAGTGTGTCCTGCAATGTGGCAGAAATTATTACCTGGATTCCTCATCACAAGTCTGCAAGTGTAAGAATCAACACTTTTAAATGTTTTTAAAATGCAATATAGCTTTACTTTATGGTTTTAGTGAATTACTTTAGGTTTGTGAATTAATTTTAGTTTTATATAGTTAATTTATTTTTCAACAATACAAATAAATAAATTTATACATATGGAATATTATTTTTTAAATATAAAAGTTTTTTTTAATATATTTAATTACTCTCTCTCTCTCTCTCTCTATATATATATATATATATATATATACATATATATATATATATATATATATGTATATATATATATATATATATATATAAACATACATGAATAAAATATATGTTCTTTTTGCAATGAATGTTCTGCAAAGAAAAAAAGGAAATTATAAAATAAAATTCTCCTTTACTCTTGCCTGTGGTGTCCTGTTTCTTCAGCTTGCTCCTCGGACTGCGTCCAGTGCGACGGCGTTGGACGCTGCTTAGTGTGTCGTGACCAGACTTTCCTGATGGAAGGATACTGCACCCCCGACTGTGGACATGGATATTATGCCGATCAGAAGACGAGAACCTGCCATGGTAATAACATTATGCCAATGGAAGAACATGTCAATACCTGGAGATGTTTCTAACTCACATAAGAATCTGAGTTGAGATGTGGGTTCATAGAGTTAGCACTATAGTTTAAACAAAATACCAGGAGTGGGGGTTAATTTGAATTTGGTCAATTATTTATTTTTTAAAAGGGGCACATTTTGTAAAATTCACATTTTGCACTTTTTTTGTACTGGGTTTTACTACTTTTAAAAACAGCCCAAATAAAAAAAAAAACACCCAGCCAGTTTTTTGGCAACAAGTTCAAGTTTTTTGGTGTCTGGAAAATGAGCCATTTCAGAAACCTTTGGAATGTAAAGTAGCAAATCAGAACGCACTGTGCCGTTACCTAGCAACCTCAGCGGAATCCAGCCCGTTACCTAGCAACGTCAGTGGAGCTCTGAAAAAGACAAGTGTTTTATTGTTGACTAACTGTTCAGAAATCACTTTCTACTTTCAAATATGTATGGATTCATAATTGGTCTCATGAAGCCATTTTGAGATGCAAGCGAAGATGTTGAGTTGAGGGGCGTGGCCAGCCTTATTTGGATTTAAAGTAACAGAGACCCTAAACCTGGGAATAAAATCTCATTATAGAAAAATAATCTTTGTATATCCCAAAGACCTTTCCGAATCTGTTTAAGGCCTAATAGGTCACCATTAATTCAAAAATTGATGATTTTAAAAAACTGTGAAATCCCAGGCTGCTTACATAATGGATGCACACAGATTTTTGGCCTTTATTTATTTATGTTAATCTGGATTTATAAGATTGTTCAGGTGCCACACTTAAATATGCAGTTTTCTGCGTTAAAGGAGATAATGAAATAGGCATTTATTAGCATTTTGTAAACTTCAACCAGTTTTTATTATGGCTCTATTCGTATGTCTGTGAGTGATTAAGAAAGTGAGTGATGAAAAAACATTTAGCTACTTGACCCAGGTCTCCTGCCTGCTGAACATATTAAATATTGGCTGGTAAACTTACCTGCAGGCCCAAGCCAGTTGGAAAACTTCAAGTAAAAATGAACAAAAATCTGCATAAATATAAATATATAAAGTTACAGCTGTGACCTCCTGCCCCAATTAGCTTGTTTTCCAGTGTTTGTCGAAGTTGTGAATGAATCTTTACAGAGAAATACTATGTTTGGTAAAATAAATAAAATAAGCCGGAAATGCATTTTAAAACAGTTTTTTTTTGTTTGTTTGTTTTTTTGCTTCTTAAGGTTTCATATTAAATAAATATTGAAATTCGATGTCTTACATAACTTCAGTTATAGCAAGCAAATAAAACTGAGATGGGCTCATAAATGATGCAGATGACCTAGGGACGTCACAGAAAAACCACATGGCTTGTTGCTAGGCAACAGGAAAATTATCCTAAGCTTCCCAGGGTTATAAATCCCACAGCGTCATTCTGTTTGATTGAATCCAGAGAGGGCCTGCTTTTAAAGTCCACATATAGCATCATGTTTGGATTTGTGATTTTTTCATGACTAATTAATATGCTGAAATTATCTTGTTTTTTGTTGTTGTTGTTTTTTGGTTCCTTTTAGATCTAAGACTGAGAAGTGATCAGATACAGTTTGATCTCAAGGATAACAGACTAATTTATAACCTGGGAGTTACACATGGAGAGAAACTGAGGCTTTGCGTTGGTAGTAGTGTAAAAAACTAAATATATTCTGTTTTAAAAATAAAGATGAAAGCATCTTTATTGAGATAAAAACTCCGATAAAGAATATGCTACTGCATTCTTTTAAAACTAAATAAAGTTGTAGTTTCAAAATGTACAGGCACCTGAAAACTTGTAGTAAACCAAAATATTAGATCTTAGTGTTTTTGACCATTTGAATGTAAAATATATTCAAAGCAAGCTGAAAATTTACAAAGCAGTAGATCAGAGTAAAGGCAAAACCTAAGCTAACAGCTAATTAAGAAGCTACCAGCTGCTAAAACTACAGCTAGTCTGATCAGACATTAACTTCACGTTTAAAAACACGTTATTCATCCCAAAGGAAAATTAAGTGTTGTTAAAACTTACCAGAGTCGATGTGAATGGTGTTTATTTGGACAGCAAGAATCTCCGGTAGCAGTCAGTGTTTCGATCATAGTTCAGATATTATTTGAGATTTTGAGATTTTACTACTAATAATAACAACAGCAGTAATAAATAAATAGCTATCTGTGGTATTCAGGGCCAACCTTTACTTTGTGTTACTAAGACCTAATCTGAGCTGTGCTTGAAGTCATAATCAAGCTAACGGCTAATGAGAGGTAAGCTAACAGCCAAAAGCAGTGTTTCACCTATTTATTGACCACAAGGTCTATGGAAGAACTACAATTCTTCTACAAGCTTTTAGGATTGTTGGTGCAGTTCAAAAAAAAAAAGTAAATAATGTATTTTTATGTGGCAAGTGCTAAAAGTCAAGCTAGTAACTTATCATAGTCAAGCTAGCTGCTAATCAGAGTCAACCTTCCTACTTCCTCTGATGTTTTATGGTGGTTAGCAACTAGCGTACAGCTGCATTACTGCCATCTACTGGACAGAGCCAACCCTACAGCTGTTGATCTTTTCCAACCAGTCAATCTAACAGCTAATTGTAATTAAGCTACCTGCTGTTCAGAGTTGGACAACTTACAGAATGGCAGCTAAATTTTCCGATAGCCATGTTGGTTTAGCGTTTTTTATCCAAGTGAAGACAGGAGTTCAGTGACCGCTGATATTCTACCACTACCATGATTTGACAGAAAATGAGACGAAACCCTTCTGGTTGTGGTTAAAACTTTCTCGTTTTATGGCTACAAAAACACAGCAAATCTTTTTTTTCCATTATGTTCAGCTCAAACACAGACAAGGTTTGTCTTACTATATTGCCGTTAGATCACCTCAATTGTTTCACATTTATTCTGAGTGTCTTTATATTTCAGAATGGATGACAGTTTGTAAAACTTTATTATGACAGCAGCAGAATTACTGATTCACAAATCTATTAAGATAGACGACCAGTATTAACTGTGTGACGTATAGATTTAATTTGCCTTTGTGAATCACAAAGAATAAAGCTTTGACTGTGGATTTCAGTCATTTAAGGAGCTTTGCACTTGTTTTTTTCATTTATCTTTAGATGCTGTGAACCTATAAGTGACAATGCCGCAGGCCCCTGGGGGAAGACGGCAGTTGTGAAACGATTTATGAAAAAAGTGTGTTAAAGATTATTTCCTGGAGAAAAATATATAATTGTGTTCCCTTTGAGATAAATGCCCCTTTCTTCTGAAATAATGAACAGTTTTAGCCTCGAGGCCTGTACTAATTCATGACTCAATCAAAAAGAAAAGGAAAGAAGAGCTTTAAAAAATAATTTTTACCATCCAATAAAAGAATAACCCCCCCCACACACACTAGTGGTTTAAATTATAAAGTTGTTCCCATTTGTAATAATAACTACATGTCTAAAAGTTTGAGGTTTCAGAGTGGCTGTTGGGATCATTAGAGGCGATATAATGAGATTACATCGAAGCATCTGAAAAAGAGCTGATCTTTAAAAAGTTCACGTGTAAAGTTCAGCCAGCTCCAATTAAAGCCTGTTTCTAAAATGCCACACCAGCACCGAGTTGTTTCACAACGTTACTTCTCTCAGAAGTGAGCTGCCCCTCCCCCACCCGTTTCCCTTTCACTGCATTTTCTCACCCCTAGCACCCACTCACACCCACCACACTGCCCGGCTGTCGTTTTATCCATTAAGCTGAACCATCTGAAAGGTTTAAAAATGTACTAATTACAGTAATTATGAGGTTCAGGTTTTTATTAAAAATAATGGAAATGTGGTTTAGATTGATGCATTCTATAGTTTTTACCATATATATACATATATGAAATGTACTTTAATGGGTTTTCTGCTCTGACTAGTTTGTTTTACATCAATAAATCATTTATTCTTTATGATAGTAGTATGCAGATTTAGTAATAAACATTTTGTTGATGTTAAAATGTTTGTCTGAGCATTCAGCAACACCGAGGTTTCCTGTTTTTTAGTTTTCAGCCTCATTATTGCCAGTTAGAGGTCGATCTTTAGCGATTTTGTTGACTCGTTCATTATTTGAAATCACAGATACACTAAATGCATTTACATTATATTTTGATATTCTGCTGTCGAAAAAACAAAATTTTGCCATTGCTGTGTTTCCATTAAACAAGAAATGCAATTGAAATTGAAAAAGTTTGTTCACGTGATAAGTTATTAAAAGTTATGGCGCCGATGGATGTAATTCAGCCATCTGGTGTTTTTGGGAAATTGTACTCTGCGATTACACAGAAGCTTTAAGGATTCAACACTTTCAAATGACAAATTTAACTTTTGTGATACAAACAAATACAAGATCTTACCAAGTATTTTATTCTAGTTTCTAGTGCAAATATACTGCTACACTTAAAATGAGACCAAACTAACATGCAAGCAACTTTTCAGAAAGACACAGCAGCTTGTTTTAAGTGGATAATGCCTTAATTTGGATGAAAAATTACTTTGCTCTACTGGCAAATTATTTCACTTAAATACGTAAAAAATGTTTTGTAATAAGTGAAATAATTTGCCAGAGGAAGTTGTACTTTTTTCAAATCATTTTAAGGAAGTATTGACTTAATCTTTCTTAAAAGTTACTTGTAAGTTAGTTTAATTTATTTCGAGTGCACTAAGATATTTGCACTAGAAACTAGACCAAAAATACTTGGTAAGATTTTGTGTTTTTACAGTGTGGAGACACAGCTGCTGACTCTGTAATAGGAATGTGGTCATTGGTTGCCATCAGCATAGATAATATAAGACATGCTGTAGCACCATGCAGCCTATTGAATAAAAGTAGTCTGAGGATGGAGCCCTGAGGAACGCCACATGTGACGTTGTGGTTTTTGTTTTCCTCAGTGAACCGCCACAGCCCTGTCCTCCACATCAACGGCTCCCTGCTGGTTCCCATCGGTGGCTCCGCCCCCCTGCTGCCCTCTCTGCTGGAGGTCAGGGACCCCGACAGTCCCTCTGGGCGCATGAGCTTCCAGCTTGTTCAGGAACCAAACAACGGCCGTTTGGTCCTGTTAACAGAGGAGGAAGCAGGAGAAAATGGAGGGAAAACGAGGCGAGAGCTACACAAAGACGACACCTTCACGTGGGCACAGCTGCAGCGTGGCCGGGTCCACTTCACACACCTGAGAAACAAAGCCAGGTGAGTGGATCCGATGTTTACAGCTGCAGAATGCAACTTTTATAAGAATGATATGAGACAGATAACCTATGAAAAAACCAAGCTGCTACTCTGCTTTGTCCCAGTGCTAACTAGAAACAACCAGTCAGAGCCAGGAGGCGGGTCTTAGCGCTGTCAGTCACCCTCGGTATGCCGCTGCTCATCCCTCTACTCACTCCCCATGTTGCTCTCTGCTAGGCTGAGGCTGTCAGAGAAATGCTCAAGCTAGTTATGGCCACCATGGTGACAGCGGACAAACGGTTTTTCTGCAATGCTAAGTTGTTTCTGGACTGGATATTCATCTGTTATGTTGTATTTGTTAAAATAAAGCCATATTTACTTGTTTATCAGATCAGATTAGCTTTATTTTGGTAAATTTACGTTACAAAAACAACTGAAACACATCTAGATTTTATTTGACTTTTCTCTGGACTAAAGTCTGTCCCCTGCCTACATCTCCCAGAATGCTGTGTGGTTCCAGATCAGAGTTCAGTGAATATTCTATATATTGAATATTCTATCAGATGTATTTATCTATTGCCATATGTATATTTTGTCCATTTGTTGTGCAGCCCTTTAATGGATCCTGTAAACATAAGGTGTAAATAATTTATGTTCTGCGTTTTTTTTTGTGTTTTTTTTTTTGCTGCTTTTGACCCAAATCTGATGACAGAAAACACATCAGAGTGATTGTGTTGTCTCTATCAATCCAGACTATCAGCTTGTTTTCTTTTTTAACGCTGCAGCTGCTGTGAAATAAGTCCGTTCTGTTCTGTGTTGGACTCCAGTGTGTTTTTATCCAGTCACAATAAACCTAATAAACAGTTTAGTGAGTTGTGATGCAGCTGCTGTGGCCTAATACAGCAGAAAGCCAATAAATGAGCAAAATGTGATCTGCTGCCCAGTTTAAGGCTTTTAGATTAATAGAGACATCGGAATGTAAGCCACCCAAATGAGATTAAATCTCCTTATTACTGCCATATTTTTCAAATTATGTGGAGTGCTGGATAACGCCTGCAGACTCACAGCTGTATTAAAACTAGCTGCATCATCTGCCGATCAGACCTGTGTGCTTTCGTTTCGCTCTTTATGTCTTTTTGAGAGACTCAGTGGTTATTTCAGGAGCATCTATAAACACAGAGTAAAGGCTGTAATAAAATAGGTTTAGGCTCTCAAATGTTAATTTATTTTCTGCTGGCACCCAGAGGAGCTGGAGAGAGGGAAGTCTGGGTTTCCCTACAAACACCATTCTGTATGAATAATCTTCCCCTCATAGTAACGTTTGTGGTCATATTTAAGAAAAATTTAATATATTTTCAGACGAGGCTTGTTTATTATATTGAAAGCACAAAAACTTTACTAAAATAAAATTATATGTTTTTGTTTCTTAATTTTTAAGCCAGTTTTAATTTTGTTCTAATCGAATACAACATGGTGAATATTTTGAATTATCACGTGAATCGACCTTGTCTTATTGTGGCTGACTGAGAATTTACACTCAGAACCAAATGTTAGCAGCCAATCAGATGGAAATATCTTCAATAGTTCCAGTGAACCTGAATGTATTCAAATAATTATTGTAAAATATGAACGTAATTTAAACCGATTGTATCACACACAGTCCTGGTGATTTACGTCTGTCCTGCTCCGGTCGGTGCTCAGACTGGCTGATCAGCCCCTGGGAGTTGTTTCTAATAAACCTTTAATGATGAGGCAGGATGGTGACATATTGCTGATGTGAACTGTGGCGGGTTACTGTCCTTGTTTCCTCTCCAGCTCTCAGGTGATTAGGTCTAATCGCTCACACCGTTAGCCTCAGCTGACTCATTTCCAGACACAACCTGGTCTAAAGAGCGCGTCTTCTGCTCAGTCAGAGTAGTTTCACCTTTTCAATCGGTTTGAATCGGCTGCCTTTTTGTTGCTCATGATGTCTTCTTCCATTGCTCTTTGCATAGGACTGGTGAGTTCACCTTACGGGCCGCTGATCCCCAGATGTTTTCTCAACCGGCTGCAGTTCAGGTTCATGCCGTGTCCATGCAGGTAAACATTCACTTTGGTTGATCACTCCACATCCTGAAAGCAATGGATCTCAGCTCCTCTGAATCTTTTTTAATGTATGTTTGTTTGTAAAGGACCAGATTTAAACAAGGACAAAAGCTGTTCAAAAATGGGAAAACATTTCAATTTAATAATTCCAAAAATGGGTAACGGAGCAGTGCAAAATAAGTTCAAGAATAAATAATAGATTGAGGTTAACTGAACACAAACTAAACTGATCTGCAAACTAAAAACAGTCTGCTTAAATAGAGGTGCAGTAACCTAAATCTGCCACATGAGGGAGACACAACATAACGAAGGAACAAGAATATACAAAATTAGCAAACGCAACTTTTTTATTTCACTTACAAGCCATTTTTCCCATGTTACAAGTGGAATAATCTGCCAGTGGAACTAGGACTTTGACTTCTAAACAAGCTCCTATATCTTGCTAAAAAGTTAATTTTAAGTTAGTTTTGTACGATTTCAAAAAAATAAATGTGGACTAGAAACTGGACAGAAATGCCTTGTAAGATTTTTTTTTTTTATTGCGGTGCATAATACACAAAAAAGAACACAAGAAATAAACTTAAAGAAGTAAACTAAATACGACAAGACCATTGTCACAGTAATGGAGAACTCAGAAATGAACAAAACACAAATAAAAAAACAACCAAGGATCTTTGCAGAAACACTTTTTTAACGTGACTGCGATGTCTGCTTCTGTTTCAGACATCTGCTGTTTGCAGATATCTGCTGAAGTAGCTGCACAGATCAGACTGCTCTTTGATTTAAAGAGACGGTTTCTCAGATGACGGCTCTGCTCCGATAGCTCTGTCTGCTCTGCTGTGCTTCTTTTGATAGAAGTCACTGGCTCCTTTCATTGAGAAGAGAAGTGAGTTTTAAACCCCGACACAAAACAGACAATTTGTTTCTGCAGCAGCGCTGCAATCTGAGCCGTGGCTTTTTGGGGAAAGAGCTGCAGATGAAAGGTTGGACACCTCTCCTGTGCAGAGTAAAAGGTTTGCCCTCCCACCTGAGTCTGCCTCCTGATTGTTTTCATTCGCCTCAGGTGGGAGATTTCAGCCGTTTCCTTTGGTGTGCAGGCGTGCCTTTGCACGATTTAAAGCCCCACACGCTGCCGCTCCTAGGCAGCACCGGCACGTCTTCGGTTTTATTGTGTGGATCAGAGACGTGACGACACAGTCTAGGTCGGCGCCAGTGACTAGTCATCTGCCTCACCAGAAAAAAAAACCTGGGAAAGTTTTGCCTCTTTGTTATTCATGTTGAAGCTTTCTGTGTACCAGGGCTACTGGAAGGCTCCAAAATGTTACATTTACTGCTTAAAAATATACAATTATGCTTTCTTGAAACAAATGTCTTAAATTTGTACATTTATTTATGAATTGCTTCCTCCATCAACATTTTTGCATCCTTGTCCCATGATTTGTAGCTCTGACTTATTATGTTTCTTTTCGCAATATTTGAATCTTGCATTTATTGATTCATGAAAACTAATAAGATGCTTGAAGTTCCTCCAGCTGACCGAAGCAGCTGGTTTTACTGCTGGATGCGTTGCCCAATGGCTGCTGGAAAAGACAAAAGTGTTTTGCTGTTGACTTACATTCCAAAAAACACTTGCTGTGTTCTTGTTGGTTGTGCAGGAGGTTCCACTTCTGCTTTTCAAAGATGTATGGTTGTATAATTGAGCATCTGTTTGCTACCATTTTCAGGTGTGAATGTAAATTTTGAGTTGGGTGGAGGGGGCGTGGCCAGCAGCAGCTTCTTTGGATTTAAAGAGACAGAGACCCAAAAACAGCTCAATAGGCAGAACTGAGACTAAAATCTCATTGTCTAAGAATGATTTTGTGCACAAAATGTAATGAAAATGTTTTGCATAGACCTATCCTAACCTGTTCAACGAAGCATAACGCATAATAATAAACCTTTAATCAAGTAAAGTCACATATTACACATATCTGAGACAGACTTGAAAATACTTAACTTTCTTTAGTTATTGAATAAGTAAATCAGCTGTTTTCATGAATGACGTAAATTTAAACCCTGGAGGCTTTACTGCTTCTAAATTTAACTAGCTGAAACGCTGGTAAAAGAATCTGGGTTTGGGTCACCCTGAATCAGGGCATCTCCAGTTTGTTCGAGGCGTTTCGTTCGGCTTGAGCTGCTGCTTTGCAGCCAAAACGCTGGAGTTCATCCAGCAGCCAAGGAGCAATTCACATTAGACGCACGCTCTGCGTCACGCTGCGCCGCTCGGAGCTCCCGACCCGACAGCTTCAAACCTGCTCGCTTCTCCACCTGCAGCTCTGCGCATTCTCCCTGCCCTGCAAGCGAATCTTCAGGTTGTTTTTCTGCTCACAGCATGTGCTTTGATAAGCTTTTAAAAAAATAGCATTTCAAACAAATGCACTGAACTTTCCAGAAATACAAGATAATGTTCACATTTAAATATTTCATGCTTTGAGCAGTTTTATGCAGCAAAATATTCCTGGATTTTTAACTGTCAAAAACAAAGCAAGTACTAAATGCAGCGTTTCTCAAACTTTTTCATACTGAAGACCATTTAACCCATTTAACAAACACTTGAAATTATCCTGCAGTAACACATCTTAATATATGTGAACTGAATTGAAAATATGAGTCTCTTGACTCTCTTGTTGTTTTCTTTGGTCATCCTAATGGGCTGTTTTTTAAATGTGAACATGTCGACTCAGGGCATTTTAAGTTATTTACATATTCTTAAAGTTTGCAGTCTTAGTTTTCCGATGATGTCAAAAACACATGGAAATCAAAAAAATAAGTTGTTCTTTCCTACCATGATTTGTGTGAATTAATAACATTTAGAAGCACAATAAAGAAAAATTGACTTGAGTTGCTTAAACATAAACAAAAACCCTCTATAATTATCCACCAACAGTAGATATGACTTCCTCTGATCATAAAAGTTTTGCTGGAGTTGTTTTTTTCACCGGTAAGTTTTTCTTTTGAGTGATCCGGTTTTAATCCATTTATCCATTATTAGTTTTAAACACAATCCTTTGGTAAGCTAGCTGTAGTGTCGCACTTTAAATTCACGTCACAGAAAATAAGTTTACATGCAGTACCTTGCCGCCCACTAGGGGGTGCCAGCGGACCACCTGTGGAAGGCTAAAATTTGCACATCAGTTGAATGTCATATTTAAAAAACTGCATTAAAAGAGTCTCATTATGATTAGAGAAGAAATGAACCAGATTCTCTCCTCTTCTCCGCCTCCTGCGCCTCTCGTCTTTATTCGGTAATTAGGAGCAGGAAGGTAACGACCAGCTCTGGAGAAGGTTTCTCACAACGGGAGGCCTCCGCGTCTCGCTGCTTTAGCTGTGTGTGAGGCGCAGCTTAACGAAGCGCCCTGTTTAACGTCCCTCTTGCCTTCAACACCGCGGCTCCACGCTGCAGCAGGCTGCAGTCATGCAGAGGAAAACACAACCGCTGTCAGGTTTTGAGATCTTCTCAGCAGCCTTTCATGGCGATGAGATGTGCTCCAACTCTGAAGCAGGTTCCAAATCTTCAAACAGAATGATGTTTTTTAAAGGGGACCTGATATGGAAAATTTACTTTTTGGACGTTTTCGTACTATTTGGTTCCCACCTTCTTCTAAAAACAGCTCAAGTGCTTAAAAAAACCACCCAGCCACTTGTTACTTGTTAGTACTGAGCTCCAGCACGTTTGGTCAGCTGGTTTTGGGATCAATAATTTATTGATCCCAGGGGGAAATTAATTAATTAAATAAATGGCTTCTGGAAAAGACAAGAGTTTTGTGGTTGCCTTACCATCCAGAAACCACTTGCTGCATTCTTGTTGGTTGTGCAGGAGGCTCCACTTATGCTTTTCAAAGATGTACGGTTGTATAATTGCGCATCTGTTTGCTGCCATTTTTATGTATGAGTGTAAGTGTTGAGTTAGGAGGCTTAAAGAGACAAGACGCCCTAAATCAGCTTTTTATAAACTGATCATAATAAAATCTCATTATCTAAAAATGATTTTGTTTCATAAACATGTTCTGTGTAGCCTATGGACCTCCTCTAACCTGCTAAAGCAAGCATAATTGCCACCTTCTGCATTTGAAAACAGAAATCTTATTTCTTTGCCTCATTATTTTCTACTTCCAGCCCCCCAGAGTGGTGACCCTCGCTCCGTTGACCTTAGAGGAGCCCGGTGGCCTGGCTGCCATCACCAAATCGGTGCTGCACATCAACGACCCCGACAACCCCGCTGACGTCCTGGTCATGGTCCTCGAACCGCCCCGTCATGGCCGGCTGACCCGTCTCCACGGCGACCGCGCCCTGAGCAGATTCAAGCTGGAGGAGCTCTCCAGGGAGCAGATCCAGTACGTCCACGACGGCTCGGCGGCAGAGGACGGCGCTGTGCTGCAGGTGAATGACGGCCACAGCTACAGGAACGTCCTGCTCCAGGTCCGGATAGTCCAGAAGGTAAGGAGGACAATGTGACGTCAACAGCTCTGCATTCAACCTTTAATGCTGTTTTTTTTCCAACTAACATTTTCTATTTGCAGAAACACAACATATGGCAAACATAATCCCATTAGCTGCACTGCAAAAAGCCTAAAAATTACCAAGTATTTTTGGTTTAGTTTCTAGTTCAAATATCTCAGTACACTTGAAATGAAACAAAACTAACTAAAACGTAACTTCTAAGTAAGAAGTAAGAGCTTGTTTTAAGTCAATAATGCCTTAATATTGACTTTTTCCACTGGCAGATTATTTTACTAAAAACATAAAAGTTTTCCAGTGTTTTAAACATAATAATCTACAACTAGAACAAATACTTTTTCATCAATATTAAGGAATTATGTACTTAAAGTTACCTGTAAATTAGTTTTGTCTTATTTGGAGTGTCCTAAGATATTTGCACTAAACTAAAAACATTTGGTAAGATTCTGTGTTCTTCTAGTGTGCAAGACAAATACTCCAAATATTGCTTAAGGTTAAAACGGACATTTTAATTCAATTAATGTTTGAAATCTTTTTGAATCACAAAACAAACATTCTTCCTCCCAGAAAACACAGTTCAATGAAATAAAACACATAAAGCAGCTAAACCACTTATTTATTACATTTGAATTCCTCTCTTTGGCTCTTTGAAACTAAATAAAAAGAAAACAATTTGTGAAGGTTTTGAAACAAATAACAGAAAAATAATTAGAAACAAGAACAAAAATGCTTGGTAAAATTTAGTGTTTTTTAAAATGTCATAATTAATAAACATTTTTTATTTTCATTTTTTAAATTTACAGTTAAAAATTCTTTTCACCAGACTGAACCATGATAATACATTTGTGTGAGTATGTTGTCTGAAGTATTACAAATTTGACTTTTGAAGTTTGACAGGGATAATCTTTTCACATGTTGCTCTTTTATAATGCAACGCCTTCAAAGTAAAACCATTTGGGCAGGAACTGCATTCCTCTAGATGCCTTTAATTGCATCATGTTGAGCAGTCATCCCTCTGCTTCCAGCTGACAAGTCCTCACAAGATGCTCTGCTGACTTTATCCCTGAAAATAGTTTCCTGGAGGCGCTGACAGATCCCCGTAGCCTCACTGCTAAAACAGAAAAAGCAGGTCGAGTCATTACAATGGCAGCTGTCATCGCTTCTGGTGAGCGTTTCATCACAAGGACGCAATTATCTTGCAGCCGGCGTCAACCCCGGCGACCAAACAGGAGGAGCGGCTGCAGGTAGAGGGGATGTTTGGGAAGATAAATATCCTTTCGGCTTCCTGGTTGCTAAGTGAACCGAAGGCAGGAAGCAAAGCGGCACAGATTTTTGTTCTTTAAGGATTCAAGATTCCACCAGAACGATGTCGCATTTTCACTGTTGGTTCAAGTTACAAGTTCAGATTTTATTGCGTAGCACATTTCAGCAGCGAGGCAGTTCAAATAAAAACCAACAGGAATGCAGCAAGTGTCTTTTCAAGCAGTCATTGTACAGTGCATGCAGTGGTAAATCCAGCTGACCAAATGTGCTGGAGCCATGCTTGGGTTGCTAGGTAACGGGCTGAGCTTTGCTTGGGTTGCTAGGTAACGGGCAGTGCCTTCTGATTTGTGACGGTACTTTCTGGAGGTTTTTGAACTGGCTCATTTTCCAGACACCAAAAAACTTTAACTTATTGCCAGAAATACAGGTTGTGGTGTTTCTTTTTTTTTTAGGGTTTTAGAAGCAGTCGAGAACCAAATGGAAGTACAAAAACGTGCAAAATCTGTATTTTGCATAATAGATCCCCTTTGCATATATTTTATTTGTATTCATAGTTGATTGCAGCAAGCAATTGTTCAACTGAGTGATGGCTGTGGGGATTTTAAGAGCTTAGGCTGTTGAAACTTGTTTTGTTTTGTTGGGTTTTTTCCCGCTGCAGAGAAACTTTTCCTCTAGTTTTTCTGCTCACGCAGTCAAAACATTTTGATTTTGGAGGGCAGCTCTGTTTGTCTGGCTGTGTGCAGATGGTGCGCTTCAGGCTAAACTCCTCTGCTTCTTCTTCTTCCCCTTCTGTAAATCAATAACATCCCACTAACACACTCACTCACACATGGCAGTATTAATTTACTGTAAAATGTCCTGATTCTGCAGTCTGTCATGCCTTCCAGCCAAGCAGGACGGACAGGATGATGGAAAGCTCACGGAACGTCCTCGGTTTATGTCCGCAGCTTTTGGATAAGATCCCAGAGTGGTCACCGTCGCTGCCGCCTCCTGGTTGCCTTGTTGTTTGATCCACACAAGTGGATTATCACGGCATAAACTACAGAACAGAAAGCAAAGACAGGGAGTGAGCAGAGCTCTGCAGCAGCAATGGCTTCAATCACTAGTATATTTCTTTAATTTAAACACAATAATGTGTTTAAATTATTGTGTTTAAAGGGGACCTACTGTACAAAATTCACATTTTACACTATAACCATGTTGCTATGGTCCCTTGTACCAAAACTAACCATCATCCAAACTCCTTTCACATGAGTCAGGATTAATTACTTCTTCCTGTATTTCCATGTAAAATGGACAGAAACGGTCAAAACACAAACAACTCAGAATGAGCCGAGAGCAGCTAACAGAAAAGTTTTACATTCAGTTTCAAACATCAGCAGTGCCACAACAAAACTACCTCAGAAGGATGAACAACTCTGAGCTACAATGCAATACCAAGTATTTTTGGTCTAGTTTCTAGTGCAAGTATCTTAATGCACTTGAAATTAGATAAACTAACTTAAGAGTAACTTTTCAGCAAGGCAGAGAGGCGTATTTTAAGTAAATATTTCCTTAATATTGATTAAAAGTGCTTGTTCCATTGGAAGATAAATTAACTTAACACATGTAAATAAGCTGCCAGTGAAACAAGTTCTTTTTAAATCAATATTAATGAAATATTTACTTAAAACAAGCTCATATTTCTTGCTAAAAAGTTACTTGTAAGTTAGCAGCATGCTAGCTAGTTAACTTATCGCATAGTCAACAATCAAAGCTCTCTCAGCATTCATATATTTCCAAAACTCACTCAAATAAGCATAAATTAATTTGGAAAAATCTACTTCTTTTCACATATGTTAACATAAACGCTCATTACGACGTATAAACTTCCACTTACAAGCGCTGCTTTGAGGAAACCAAACAGGAATACGGCATTTGGGATAGAAATGTCTGAATGAAGTAAAGCAGTTCCCTAAAATTCCAATAGATGGCAGCAACGCTCCATGTAAAATCAGATATTCACTGGTCAGATGCCTGAAGGACAGGAAGTACAACTTTTAGTTGTTTTTTTTCCCATTTGCTTCAAAAAACGGCCCATATCAGTTTACTTTTTAAAGGCTAGACGATTGTTTTCCAAACGTTTCAAAGTACTTTTCTAGAACTTTCAGGATACTTTCTAGAAGTTAAAAGGTTGTTTCCTAACAAGCCAAACACCCAAGAGCTGGGAGGCTCTTAAAAAACCCTACCAGACAGTTTTTGGCAACAAGTTAGTGTTTTTTGGTGTCAAAAACCTCTGAAACGTTACAAATCAGAAGGCACTGCCCGTTACCTAGCAACCCAAGCTGAGTTCCAGCACGGTTGGTCAGCTGGTTTTACTCCTGTACAATGCTGGAAAAGAGAAGCGCTTTGTTGTTGCTCTATCACAGCTCAGAATCTGTTTTCTGTCAGACGTTGTCAGAAATATCAGAGCTCCTCGAGACATCGCAGAGCGCCTGTCGAGTTAAATGATGTGCCTAAAATGTATGAACTGAGTGCAGTCTGCCGGCTACACATGGCCGACCCACAACTCGTTTGCTAAACATTTGAGATGTTTACCCGGATCTCGTGGGACTCCTTGATATTCAGAATCTAATTAAAGCCTGCCTGTGTGGACCTGCCAAAATGCCAAGCTGTCTTGTGTGGATTTACGCTCAAAGCATCCACATGGAGAGGATGTTTTAGATCGCACACAAACAGAAAAGATAAAAACAAGATAAGATAGAATCCCAAATCTGCAGATGAAAGCTGATCCCTCACAATGATCCGCGATAAAACCTCGAGGGATTCATTAACAGCAAACTTGAGTCGGTGAGTCTTCAGTTTTTCCTGGTGATGTCGGATCCAGGTTGTGCCGGTTACAAAAGGCCTCCTGGAAAATCGGATTACGGTTGTGTAGCGCAGGAGGCTAATCAGACCATAACGATCCCCTGATGGATGGACTTCCTCCTGATGGAGAGAGGTCAGCAGAATAGAAAGCAGGACCGCTGGCTTTTAATTTCTGTCCCAAAGAAAAAGTCTTTGAGCCCAAAAAAAAAAAAAAAAAAGCTGGGGGTTCATCTGTTTCCCACCAGAAATGGAGGAGAAATAAACGATCAGACATCCGGCGTTAGAGGGGGAAATACTTGAGCTCTGTTGTCAAGGAGATGGTGGATGTCGAGTGGATGAAGATCGACCTCCTGCTGGACTCTTTTTTTTATGACAAGTTGCAGTTGTAGCTGATTAAAGCGTCTGGAATAGGAGTGTTTTTTTTTTTAATCATTTTTAACCTTTCCATACACAATAAATAAAAAAACACTACCACAAGAAAAACCAAACGTAACAGAAATTTTAATTTCTGTCAATGACAAGAAATGATTGTTTCGCAAAAGTTCAAATGTACTTTTCTAGGACATACAAAGTATTTTCTAGAAGTTAAAGTATTGTTGTACTTATTAACAATTTAAAAGGTTTAAACGGTGAACAGTACTTTTCTACAACTTGCAGAGTACTTTCTAGCAGTTAAAGGGTTTTCCCAAATGCCCTGAAGTACTTTCAGGGTTGCTTCCTAGAAACTTGAAAGTACTTATCTAGAATTTACAAGGTGGTTTTCAAGAAGTTAAAAAGTCTGAAGTACTTTTCTAGAACTTTTATAGTACTTTCTAGAAGTTAAAGGCTGTTTCCCAGATGCAATGAAATACTTTTATACGACTTGGAGTACTTTTCTAAACATTAAAGGTTTGAAAGTACTTATCTACAAGTTAGAGTATTTTTCTAGAAATTAAGGAGTTTGTCATAGAAGGTCTAAGGTACTTTTCTAGAACTTTCAGAGTACTTTCTAGACATTTAATTGCTTTTTCTGAAGTACTTTTCCAGAACTTTCTAAACATAAAAGGGTTGGTTTCTGGGTTACTTTTCTAGAAGTTAGTTTCTTTCTAGAAGGTCAAAGGTATATATTAACTATTTACAGATTACTTTTAAAAAATAAATGGTTGTTCTCCAAAAATTTCAAAGTACTTTTCTAGTAAAAGGTTAAAAGGCTGTTTCCTAGGAACACAAAAGTACTTTTCTAGAATTTATAGGGTAGTTTCCTAGAAGTTAAAAAGTTGTGTCTTAGAAGAGTGAAGGTATTTATTCACAGTTTGCTTTTAACGCCAAAGTCTGGTGGTGGGAAAGTTTGGAAATTTACCCTGAAAATTCTTGAAAAGTTCTTGAATTTTACTGGGGGGAAAGTGTAGAAACTTTGTGTGTGATTGAGTTTATTCTTCTTCTGACCAGGTTCCTAATGACCTAATTATACAATTCCTGATGCTCTTCCCAAAGTTCAGGCAATATTAACCTTTAAGCCGCTCTTCAGTGCCATAAGTTGGCATTTCTTTCTGGGTTAAAGGAACCCGCTAAATGTTTTTATGGGCAGCAAAGAGCCACTTTACCTGCAGCGTCAGATATTGCCTGCATGCTCTCGGCTTTCTCCCTCTCTCGCCGTAGATGCCATTCTCAGTCGCTCCGGATTAAATTGAAATGTGTTGCCAAAGAGAATTTAATCATCATTCTGCGCCTTTCAATTTCTTTTTGAGAATTCTGTGGAATCGTCCTGTTCGCCCGTCCCCCTGTGGGAGCGTGAAGCTCTGTCATTACAACAGCACGACCGTCCAGGCAGGCAGCCAGCTGATGTTTTATGGATGACTCTGACTCCATCTCTGCAGAGTCATTTATTTCTGTTTTTGTGGACAGCAGCCAAAAACTCTGCATCGTCTTGGTTTACATTCTGTCTGGAAGCTCTATAAAGGTCTCCTCTTATACATACTGTGGCTGAGGATAATATATATTTTTATTTATTTCAGAGTGGTTTTATATATTGCAGAGAAGCAAAACTTTTAGAGATTCTTGCCGTCTCAAAGCCTGACATTCCTAAAAGTTCTTCTTGTGAACAGTTTCTCCACACATTTAGTCATTTTAAAAGCAAAACACCCCTGGATACGTTTTGCTCAATACTAAATACATACTGTAGGAAAACTTGTGTCATTAGCTGCATTTCCAAGAATCCAATGATTGAGCAATTTGACATCTAGGGAAAAAATATGCTTAATAGAAACACAGCAATTTTCAAAAAACTGGAAAATGTTTTTTTGGGCTGTTTTGCAAAATTCTAATGGAAACACTTTTTTCACATCACATAACCAACAAACCGATGTGACTGGAGCAAACCATGAAGAAGACGACAGGAAGTGGTAGGAAGATGATGCAGCTTATCGCGTGAACTAACTTATTCACATGCAATTTAATTAAGTTTTTTATTTAATGCAAACACAGCAATTGCAAAATTGTGTTTTTTCAACATTGTTGACTTACTATTCAGAAACTACTTACTGTATTCTTGTTGGTTGCGCAGGAGGCTCCATTTCTGCTCTTCAAAGAAAGTTGCACAACTGTTTGTAGCCATTTTGTTGTAGTTTTTTCTATATTAGTAGAATATTGACAAAGTTTTGTGCATATTTGTAGTGAAAACGCAGCTAATGGCTGTTTGAAGAGATTACCCTTTAGTTATTGACTTTCTATTCAGAAACCACTTGTTGGTTGTGCAGGAGGCTCCACTTCTGCTTTTCAAAGAGGCATGGTTGTATAATTGTGCATCTGTTTACAGTAGTTTTGTTATTGTTTTTTCGACAGTAGTGGAATATTGACAAAGTTTTCCTCACATTTGAGACACAGCCTCTGATGGAGCACGGCTTGTGTTCATTTTCTGCTTTTCACTTTCTCCTTATTCTTTGTGTTCAGACCATTTAAAATGACATTAGGCAAATTTGCTTTTTTCCTCCTCATTTGCATGAGCCTGTCATTAGCTCTCGCACCTGTCTGACGGAGATTAGGCTGTTTATCAACTTGAGTCTCTCATGGACGAAGCTCGTTAGATTTGAGGGTTGTCCAAGCAAAGCTCAGAAAATGAATAAATACGGTTGCAGCTGCAGGTCAGAACAAGACCAGAGGGAAAATATTAGTTAAAAACCCAACCAGGCCCCTCTGACCCGCTTTATCCTGAGCTCCTGGCTCTAAATGTCCTTGAGAGCTCCTGGTGTTCATCCTGAGAGAGCCATTATCTCCCAGATGACGTGTTTCTGTGAGTTAAAAGCCTGCCACGCTGATGTATGTGGTTTCTTTTTCTGTGCTTCTCTGCTTTCTGTCGTGGCCTCTGTGAATCAGTGTGATTCGGATCAGCCCAGCAGCAGGCAGAAGTGCTGCGGATGGCCTGCAGGTTGTTATCTGCAAATTTAGATTCTCATGCATGCCACACACTATCTGTCTGACACGCCGTATTCACACCTTTTTGATGTTTTACCACCTTTTTCAACTCTTACAGCAGAGTATTTATGCTTTGCACTGCTGTAGGTATCTGAGCCTGTGTGCTTTTATCTTTAGCTCAAAGTGAGACACGGGGAAAGCTCGCTATTTAAATCCTCCCAGGGATTCATTATGGAGGACTGGGGTGGCCATAATTAAGAATAAATACAGAAAAGTATAAATGACTCAGTGAAGTTATTACAGAGCCAGAAAATGAATAAAAATATGTATTTTAAGTAGAAAAAATGTGGTAATATTTTTTGGGTTAATTTCTAAGATTTTACATTATTCTTAATTTTCTCTCTCCTCTTTTCCTCAAGTAATGCAGCCAGTCAGTGCTAAGTGAAATTAATGGCTCCTTGCAAATGTGAGCAAATTGTGTTAAGTAACATTGCGTCTTGGTATTTCAACTTCACAAGTTGCATTTTAGATATGCTCTACAAAAATATACATGAATTGGTGAATCCACAAATGCAGAGAAATTTGGTTGTAGCTTATTCCATTTTAATCTTTTTTCCTTCAACTTCGCCGTAATCCAGATCTCAATCTAATGTGTTCATGCACCCTTAAAGTGTACATAAAATTAAGACCTTAAATTCATATAAAAAACATTAAGTTGGCCTTAACTACACTAATCTTAAGTCTTAAATTTTGTCATGACAGGACTTTTTGATTTTGTGTATTGGATGTGTCTTCAGGCCAAAATTTGAATTGCGTTCTGTGACTCAAGGCGGTTGAGGCTACCGCTAACTAGCTGCTAATGTACCCTCACTAGCTAGCTAACTAACTTTTGCATCTACCATGGATAAGTGCAAATTTTTAGCCTGTTGGATGGACGAAGTTTATACATTTTTTGAGAAGATACAATTCTTAATTTCCATTCATAACGTTCTTAAAAAGGTCTTTAAAAGTCTTAATCTTGAGCTGGTAAAACATTTAAAAATTTTGAATAAGATGCATTAACATTTTTATAAACATGACAAACTGAATCGTTTATTAAACAGTAAGTTTTTCTTATTTACATTAGTCTGTTAGGACTGTTTAAACTTATATATTCTATGTAGTTTGTTTTTTTGTTGTGGGTCTTTTCCATCAGGCTAAAGTTTGAGTCGCACGCAGACATCTTCATTGCATTCTGTGACTCAAGCCGCTAACTAGCTGCTAATACACCCTTGCTAAGTAGTCTATAAATTTACTGGTTGGCTGAACAAAGTTCATACATTTTTGTGGAGATGTAGATCTTAAATTCCGTTCATAATGGTCTTATAAAGTCTTACATTTGAGTTGAAGTCTTTCGAAAACTTGATTAAGATAATTTAACATTGTTGTGTGAACCAGCTGTGAATACTTTTGCAGGGCAGTTTTTAAAGAAAAACTGCAGATTTCTCAAAAACAGGTTAAATCAGGCTGATTTTCAGGTGAAGGAGCAGATAGCAGCCAATACCTCTTTGCTGTGAATGCACAGCTGGTCGTTGATATTTTTGCCATTTTTCTGTTTCTGTCAGTGTGAGGTAGCGATGAACAGATTATTTAAGATGATTAAATAATTCCTGTGCCCACTGAACACTTTATGTTGCCCTTACTGCTTAATCAAAGCTTAAATTTATGACTTAATCTGGTTAAAAATGTTTCGTAACAAAGAAAAACTAAGTTGTTTTTAGTTAATAGTTTTCCTCTGTGAGATCAGTCCATCCCCAGGGTTTGTTTTTAAAAGCAGAGCTGATATTCCTAAACTTTTCAGTGATATTTAGTGTTTTGCTCCTTCAAAAGTGTCTTTGTTAAAGTTTTTTGTGTTACAGTTCTCATTCTCTGACACAGGATTTCTACATCAGCTATTTTTATTTAGACAGCAGGGTGACACAGCGAGGTAAAAGGTCTCGATTCAAACCTTCATGACAGAATTTCTCTGAATTTTTTTTCTTTAACTTGAATCGCCTTGAGCGACAATGAATCATCAGCAATCTCTAGGCTCTCCCTACATCTAGCCCTGCTCTTTGTTTGCAGGCAGTGGGATCGATACGGCATTACAAAAATAACCCTGATTGTAAAGTTTTCAGTTCACAGATCAGTCACTGAACTTGCTGTTATTTCTTATTTCTGCTCCATGGAGCTGACGACGGATGCTGCTGCATGGAAAACTCCTGGGGCTTAAAAAAAAACAAAAGTGAAAGCATACAAGAAAAATAGGGGATAATGTGAAGTAAAATATCACTTTCTCTGTGGGTTAAAACCAGGCTGCATGTGTAATTTCAGCTAATAGCAGAAATGTTATCCTGCTGCTCCGGTGGCAGAAAGGCGAACACCCGGGAACCTCCATCTGACTCTGATGTGTTTGTTTCTGCAGCCTCAGGATTCTCCTCATCTGGTGTCTCTGCCGATGACCTGGGTGAAGGAGGGAGGCACGGTGCGGCTCGATAAGAAGTACCTGCAGACAGACGTTAAAGGAGTCGGCGCCGACGATATCATCTACACCATCCTGGCCTCGGAGGGGCAACCCAAACATGGTGAGAGATCGGTTCAGAGACACGCTTCTTTTACTGCTGAAACGATTAATCAGACTTTTAAATAATCATCAACTATTTTAGTAATTGATTAATCGTTAACTGGAGTATACAGACTCAAAAAAGTTATTTCTAAACTAAATCTGTTTGCTTTAGGGCTGATAATTCATGATATGTTTAATTATATAATGACTATAGTTAACATGTTCTACCACAAAGTCCTTAAATATCATAGTTTTAGCTTCACTCATTAAAAATTTATTTAAAATAAGAAAAATCTCCAACTGAGCACCTTTTGCTAACCAATTATTAATCGGTTAATTCATAGAATAACAAACAGATCAGCCCTACATTCTTTTGGTGTTAAGTCAAGCAGACACTGGAGACTTTTAAGCAATAAAATATGTAGAAAAGAATGTGTTTGTTTGCTTCTTTTAANG